TTAAATTTATTCTGATTAATTTGACACCAAAATTTTGTCAATACCCCGAAAACTTCCGGGATTATTATTGTTTTTTACCAATCTGCAAACCTTAAATTCTCGAAATCAAAATTTGAAGCTTCTGCGCAAGGTATATTCAGTCCTATTGCAGCTAAAGCTTTAAAATTTGGTATGTATTTAAAGATAGGTTAATTTAATTGAAGTAAAAATTTTAGGAATCGAATTACATTTTGATTGTAATTTGTTTTAAAAAAATTAGTTTATAAAAATGAAGACAATTTTTTGAAGTGTAAAAAGTAAAAAAAAAAATATTTATTTTCAATATGTATCTATGAGTTTAGTTTAATCATAAGAATATACGTTTGCGCTGTTATAGCAAGTAGTTTAAAACATTTTTAATTATTTTTCTGCAATTAACTGCGGAAAAACTGGGGTTAATTTTTGAAAAAAAGTATATGTTTTCAAATTTTTTAACTTCTACAAAATAATTAATTCCGATAGATTTAAAAAAATTATGAATAGGTTTGAAAACCTTCTAGACATTAAAACATATTTAAAAAAGCTGTAATTCTATTTTTAAACTAACTGCGTCCTTTCCGAGAATGCTTAACTATTTTGCTGTTACGTAAACCTTTAAGTAATGCATTTTTTCTTGGTTATACTAAATTAACAGTAAAAAGGTCTAGTCATATAACGTAAAAATTGTTTTAAGGAATATATTTGTGTGTTTAGAAGAAGGACATTTCTGTAATCATTCTGAATAACCTAATTTTGTATTACAAATATTAAGAATCAAATTTGTGGTGTTTTTGTCAGCGTCTTGCGAGATATGTTTGTAAATAAATAAACAAAAATGCGTAGCCTCTTCAGAAAAAGAAAATTAAAAATTTATGAAAATAATTTTCAATTTTATTTTTAAAAAATACATTGTTTAGCAAAGTATCAAAAGATTTCAACCAGGATTAAGGAAAATTAATAAGGTAAAAGAAATTAATTACTTTGATGAGAGCAAAATAATTATGATATTTTTATCATTTTATTTTTAACACTGACTGTGAATCATTTTTAATTTTTTTGCATGGATTTAAGTATCTTATTAATACCTACTTTTTCTTAGTTATTTTTTTTTATAACCGTCATTGAACCGCCGACCCAATTTTGGGTTTACGACTACTAATGTTCAACTACGTAGCCTTATAATTTTGAACCCAATTCAGAAGACAAGGGAGCTCCTGGATCAAATGTTGGGAGAAATTTGCCTACGTGGAGGACTTTTTGATGGAACTAATCCGAGAACCTCCCGCTGTTAGCCAGCCTAACGGCAAAAAGGACTCTAACCCATGATCAGTCTACCACTGAGGATATTTCACGTAGGCACTGTGGTCGTTGCGAGCCGGAATTCGTACTGATCAGCCATTGCTAGGATTCGAACCCGGCTCACCTCACTGGAAGGCGAACGCTCTATCCTAAGAGTCATCGCGGCTTATTGAAAAAAATATCTATAAAGTGAATGATCTTTCTTAAATGCTTTTACATAGAAAAGTATTAAAAATATAATTTTACCTCCAGGAAAGACCACCTCTATATAGCGACATCCTCTGTATAGCAACCACCTCTTTTTACGTCCACTTTTGGGAGGAAGAAAACCTTTAGAAAGGTTTCAAGCAAACCTCCGCACCAAATGCAGAAAAGGTTAAATAAGTTAACTCGAAAAGTATCAAAATGAAAAATACTAACAAAACAAATATGAACAAAACCAATAGGTAAATTATAATGTGTTCACAATATTTTTGAGTGGCTCTTATTTAGCGAGCTCTATTTGACGATTTCTGCAAGTTACTTCCAGTTACAGTCAAACGATTCTATCAATGATTTAGTTTTAGAGATGAAAGTTAAATTAGGAAGAATAAAAGTTATTTTAGAAAAAACTACGCTTCTCAAACCAAATCTCCCATTTTTTAAAGCAAATCAATTTTTATGATATAAAACTAAATGCAAATTTATACAAAAAGCAAAATTGCTAATTTATCTAAAATAGTTCTATCATTTACATAATTATATCAGTCGGGGTCATTTTTATTGACGTTCAATTTTATTTATCGATCCTGTTTGCTTGAGGCCAACGCAAGTGGTATTTCCGCACCAATAAAATGAGACTGAAGAAAATCATATACCTTCGATATCATTTTGAAGTCAATGGAGATAACCCCTAAGAACTTCATGAACGAACATTTTATTGTGGAACAGAGAGGGCTTTTACTCTATAAAACGTTAGTAAAATGATGGTCGCATGATATATACTACTTTTAATACACATTTTACTTATTTATTTATTTTAAAAAAGGAATTTTTTATAAAAGCAAAAACGAAGATGTAACACGTAAATACACATTGAAGAAGAAATAAATATATGAATGCACAGAAAAATGTATTTTTTGCACATATTAGGAGATAAAATTGAAAAGTTCTTTTCTTAAATTATGTAAACTTTACATTAGGCTTTCTAAATTAAAAAATTTCTAAATTAAGAATGTATCTATGTAAAGCTGATGTAACAAAATTGTTGACACTAAACAAATATGTATTAATATTATCTTAAAAAATAAATAGATTTTGTAATATTTAAATCCATTGTTGCAACATAACGTGTTTAATTGAAAAAAAAAACTTACGTGTATTTGGTTATCCTGTTAATTCTTAGAAATGAGGTAATGGTTGAAAGTTAAGTTTTCGGAATAAATATATTAGAAATAAAAAAAAGAATACAGTCAGATCTCGATTTAACGAAGTCTGTAAACCTGGATAAAAAGTTCCGTATTTGGAAAATTCGTTAAATAAAAAATCACCATTTGAAATACTTAAACAACACAAAACTGATTTTAAATTCATAAACACTAGACATAATTAAATTAGCAATTGATGCACCTTTATCTTGTAAATTATTATCTACTATCGAATTGTTTCAAATAATTTTAACATTTCATTATAAGAAAGTTTGATGATTTCTTCTTCAGTTTATGTTTCTGTGGTTGCAGCTTCAGAATCAATAGAAAGAAAATCATTAATCTGTACAACATCGTTAATTTCGTGGTTCTCTCTTAGCTGTACCCACATTTTTTTCAGTTATTCTAATGGAGTATCATCCTCCGCACTTTCCAAATTCTTCGCACTGAGAAAGAATCCATCTTTAACCAAACTGTTTTGCAAACAGTACGATCTGTGACATCATAGTCTCTTACATTAGAAATTCCTGTTATGCTTTCTCGTAAATTGATTTTTGGCATGGAAAAAATCGTTAAATAGAAAATTCACTTCGCTATTTGGAACTTATTTTACTAAGAATTTTCCAAAATGTTCTGTGTTCCTGAAAAAAAATCGCAAAATGGAAGTTCTTTAAATAGAAGTCCGACTGTACCATAATCAGTGTGTCAGAAAATTGGAGTGAATTGAGCATGTTCTGAATAGTTTCAACTTTTCAAATGAACACATTTATTCGACTTTTAATTTACTATTTTTGATTATGACTTAAGAATTATTAAGAAATAACTGTGTAGGAAAAACAAGTAATGACTCAGTTTTGCAAAGAATCATCAATTTCAGAAATTTAGGGTAATCCCCACTCATTCTGGTTTGACCTAACATTTATATTTGCAATGCATATTTCAATTTTCATTTGAATGAAACGTTGTTTGTTCATTGCTAAATATCATTCTTAATTTTAAGTAAAAACATATAATATTTTATTCAATGCTAAGTTGTTTGTTTACAAAAGAGAAAAAAAAGGAGTTAATGGAATTTAATACGAACGGCGGTAATTTTAACTTTTCCAAACGTGCTCTAATTGGATTTTACGTTTAGAGAACATCTATTTACTGATACTTATTATATGTACCAAAGATGACAAATAGAATAAAATTCAACTGTCATCTTACTTCGTGAAAATTCAATTTAATTCTTAAAAATATAATGGATAAAAACAATTGTTGTGATTTTGAAATATAGTAATGCATGTATGCTTATCAAACTAAATTAATAAAGAAATACGTAATAAAAAATTTTAAGATGTAAATAATTTACATTTAATTTTAAAGAAATTATAATGTGTTTTCTAACTATTAAAAAATCTCGCTTTTTATTTTTCTTTACTTTTAACTAGACGTTTCTAATCCATATTTTGCAAGAAATCTCAGTTTAACAATAATTTTATTCATAAAGTTAATAAGATTACCGCATCTTGTTTTTCTCACTTATGCTAATCAACTCTATCAAAAAAAGTGTGAGCATGTTGCACAAATAAATCAGAAAACTGAGAACCAAATTTAATACATTTTTTATTTCAAAATGGTTTGTTTTATTCTAAGAAAAATATTTTTTGTTGTATTATGTTAATATGAAATAACATCTCAATTAAAACAACATTTATATGCTGTTATCAAAATATCTAAGCAATGCAACAAGATGAGCAGCAAGAAAAAACAATTGGAGAATTGGAGAACTATTTTTTGAAACATTTGTTCCAAAAGTTTCTCAGTCATAGAGTTAGCATTAGTATCATTTTTTAATTGTTATATAACTATAATAAACTATATTCTTTAACTTTTCTAGTCGTTAATTAAATTTTTTTGCTCCTCTTAATATCCTTAAAGTTGTTTAATGAATTCTTGTAAATACCCTTATTTTTAGTTTTTCTAGAGAAAAGTATATTCATGAATTATTTTTAATTATTTTAATGATATAAATGAATTTTCATAAAACAATAAATAATACTTTTAATTTACTTATTATTAAGGAATGTGTTGCCTTAAGCAACGAAAGAATTATTTACGTCCTTTGAGAACGAAATAAGCATCAGTAATGTCACATTATGCACTAGTATGAAACTGCATGAATAATGAGTATTTAGTAATAAATAAAATTTGTGCATAAAACTTGCTTATTATAAATTATCATTCGATATAAAATGAAAGATTAAGTACAAAATATTATCTTTTACCATTTAGTGAAGAAGAAGAGACAAAACCGGAAGTAGAAGAAAAGTAAGTACAATATTTTTATTTAGATGAAATAGCCTGATAACTTTCGTTGGGATAGTTCTTGTTTTTTAAATTGTGACAAATATAAGCCCACCGGACAAAAACTTAGTCACCCTTAGAGAAATCATGAAAAACATCATTTAATAACGTGTAACGTCACCTCTGGATTTGATAACCGCCTGGATTCGGTTAGGAAGTGAGTCCACAAGGTTTTGCAAATACGTCGAATCTAGTTTAAGCCACTCGTTGTAGATTTAATCGAGCAAAATCACCAAATTGCGAGGATGCTGATTTCGACATTTTACCTGTTGTTCCAACATGTACCACAAATTTTCAATGCGGTTAAAGTCAGGTGATTTTGCAAGCCAGCCGAGAGGAAATTGAGTGTCTGAGTGTTCATAAAACCAGTCACATATTCTTCCAGCCCCAAGAACTTTGCTGTTGTCATCTTGAAAATTAGGGGCATCGACAACACCCTCTTCATGATGATGTTGTCTGGAAGGCAACATCTAATTATTCAGAACGTTCAAATAAATATTTTACATAATGTTAGTGACCACCTCAATGAGGGAGCCCAATCCATAATAAGAAAAACGCCTCCAAAAACATGACAGACCCACCTCCGGTTTGAACCTGAGTTTGCACACATCAGGATGAAATGCTTCATCTGCTCCTCGTTGCACTCGATGACGCGCGTCTTTTGAATAAAGGCAAAAACATGATTCGTCAGACCAAATTACATTCCGCCAGTCAGCAACTGCCCACGTTTGGTGACTTCTTGCCCGCTGAAGTCGCTCAGCTTTAAGTGCCCATGTGAGCAATGGCCTCTAACGAGATGTTCGACTCCAAATGTTCATTGCATGCAGCTCCCTTCGCAATATTTTCTCACTCAGGTAGGGATGGATATTCATTTACTAACTGAAGCAATTCCTGTCTAGTTTGGAAGCGATTTTGATTGATAAGTCGTGAAACACGCGTCTGGTCACTTTCATGCAGGATCTTTTTACGACCACAATTCTAACAGCGTCTTTCGCGACCACGTGTATTACACCACTGCTTGTAGACACGTTGAACAGTCCGCTTTGAAACGCTGACAAATTTAGCAACTTCAGTCACCATATGACCATTGGCACGGCCAAACACAATTGTCCCTTTTTGACACTCCGTCACATCTTTACTCTTACCCATATTTACACACAATTTCCTCTCCAAACAAAATTATCTCCCTGATAGCTACTTGTCCTTGATCACATTGAAGCAGAGTGCCGGTAGTTGAGCACGTCACTTGACCACTGGGTCATCTAACAAAACCTAACGATTCATCGGTGCTTGTGCACTAGGGTGACTAATTTTTTGTCCGGTGAGCTTACATAATTTTATATTTCGAATGAAAAGATAAAAGTTTTGGTTTGATTGTCCTCCAAAAGTTTTCATATTTTATATACAAGCAGTCCTCAAAAGATGAGAAGAATGTGATTCTATTGATATTTATGCTATATATGTTACGGTGATTGTGATTAATCTGGTGATTATACATAATTATGCATAGTCACCACTAAACTTGGTAAATAGGACAAATTTTTGAAAATTTATCAAATTAACCGGTTTGTTTACATAATTCCCAAATCGTAATGTTAAATGTGATCCTAACAATGTGATAAGCAAGAAAGACTTTCACAGTTGTATACCAGAAATCAATTCACAATTTGTAAAGAAAAATTTATTTTGCTTAACGATTTAGCAATATCAATTCGAGAATGAGTTCTTTCTGGAGGTCAGGTATATCAACGATGTGGGACAATGCGAGAAGTGCAAATGTAAAAATTTTGGCAAACTTAGTAATTCTAAATGTCATAACAGTCTAATATGCTTAAATAAGCAAACTTAAAATATTTAGTAATTTGTAGTTACAGCGTTTAACGTTATTTGAAGAAAAAAATATCTCTAGAGTATGGGCATAGTTTGTTTTTAATATGTAACTGTAGTATGTTTTTTTTATGTGTAACTGTTTTATACAAGTTCATGTAGATAACATTTTTTTTTCATTTCAAGACACCAGTCAGTCTCTTATTCAAATTTTGTTCAGGCTAAATAATTGTATGCGAATTAAAATAACCATTTATTGACTTTTTAATTGTAAAATATAAAGTATTGTAATTCGTGGTTGCCGTAGTGACCAACGAAAAAATATTTTTCTGAGTAGTAACTACTCCAAAGAAAAAGTACTCTATTACTACTGTCTCAATCAGTCATGATACTTATCACATTTACCATTACGAGTTGGAAATTATGCAAAAAAAACCGGTTAATTTGATACATTTTCAAAAATTTATCATATTTATCAAATTTAGTGGTGATTATGCATAATTACCGGTTATTATATATAATCATCAGTTTATTACCGTAACATATACAATAAATATTTATTACCGTTAAAAGGCACTTCGCTATTAAAATAAAATTAATAACTTTTTTAAGGAAATTTTGGACATAAGATTACTTTAGACAATGAATATATGACAAAATCTATCGGCGTTATTTACGTTTGATTTTTTCGACAATCCTATGCTTCATACGTAAAAGAATGGCCTTATGTTACTCTAACCAATGATCCTGCAAATGCTTTTGCAAAGTCAAGACTATTCACCCCTTTAAAAATCAAATCCCACGATCAAATAACTAATCTTGTCATCGATAGGAAGACAGCCACTACTCTCATCAGACTAAGAACAAGACATCATAAAAACATGAAAATTTCTACAGATGGAACTAGAAAATATCAAAACTGTGGCAACTGTCTTAATGTGGCACTGACACCATATCATGTTTTTAGCTGCCCTGCAGTCGCTGCAGGCCTTCACCTCTTAAACTACCCCACAGAAGAGGATTTGTATTCATTTAATGCCATAGAAATAACAAAAACTACTCAAGCACACCATGAAATATGATTCAATAGAGGATACGACACCAACCACCAACCAGCCAATGATCCAACTACCACTGAGGATGTTTTACGTTAGCACTGTGGTTGGTGTGAGCCGGATGCGGAATTCGTATCGACCAGACATCGTTGAGATTCGAACCCGGTTCACCTTCATCGAAAGCGAGCACTCTATCCTCTGAGCCATCGCCGCTCTTACATTATTATATAATTACAAATGATAAATTAAAAAAAGATTTTCAGAACTAGTAATTTAATGGATGAAAGTTCACAGAAGTAACGTACAAAATCGTACTATAATTTTTACAGAAATAGATTAAAGTATGTACTCTAAACTAAAAACAAATAACTTTTCAAGTATTTAAGTATTTATCTAATGTTTTTATGAAATATTTCCCATCAAGAAGTCCTCCACGAAGGTTAATTTCTCCCAATACTTGATCTAGGAGTTCCCTTGTCTTCTGGTTTGGGTTCAAAATTACAACGCTGCGTAGTTGAACATTAGTAGCTCAACATTAGACCCATAAAATTGGATCGGTTGTTCAACGACAGTTATAAAACATAATATCTAGTGATACTAATATAAATTATCTATTGATGCCATTTGTTAAGGATATTCTATCATCGAATAATTGTCTTACTTAAACTTTATGCCTGTATTTTTTATTTGTAAACATTTAGAAACTATTTGAATTTATTTGTTTATTTATTTATTTTTCTATTGTATTGTCTTAGTTATCATGAAAACCCAAAGTGGGCCTTTATATTTGGAAAAAATATTTCTTAAGATATTTATCGAAAACTTTTGCAATAATTTATGCTAATTCTATTCTCTACATTTATTATTCAGAATTTTACTTTTTTCTGTGAATTAAATTTAAACTTCAATATTATCAGAGTTTAAAGTTTAGATCTGTGTTATGCTCTGACCTTTTGAGAACTTCCCATACATAATTTAATGCAATCTTTCCGCTTTGACGCTAAGACCAACAAGGAAAGCAAAATTTAATTGAAAATGATAACAAGTTTATTAAAAAGAGAAAAAGTTTAGAATAAGTTTTAAAAAAATGTCCGCCACACTTCCGACAATGCACTAGACAGTAATTTAAAATGACTCAAATTTTCCAATTTTAATTTAATTCTCCTAATATTTTGAAAACTCCTACAAATATTTTTTTAAAATTAATTCTATTCAATTTTCTATTGCTTGCAGTAGGTCATCCACATAAATAATAAGATGACGTTCTAAGTAAACTATCAGGTCTGATATAAATTTAATCTATTTTTCGACCTTGAATCACTCATACATCATTTTCTACATACAATAGAAAATATAGCTTTCACAGGTTTTGTATTAAAAAAAACAATAGGTCATTTGGTTATTAAAAATTAGTCATTATAATTTTTCTGATGTTTGGAGAGCTCGGGCTATTGGAAAAAAGATGGGGATATCTAAAACATTTTTTCTTTTTTGAAAAAAATAAAATAAAAACAAGTGAACCTGCTTAACTATGTAATTTAACTTATAAACAAAAAGAACTGAGTTATAAACTTAAATACTGATTTTTATCTTCTAGCAAATAGGGCTAATTTCTTATTATTATAATACTATACTCAATAGTGCTGCTCTGTTAAAAATTCCGAGCCAAGTGGCACCAAAAATCGGTATTCATTGGCTGGCTACATAAAATGGAGCTCAATTTTACCATATTTAGGTATTTTCACTAGCTTCTAATATCAGTGGATGGTTGCCCCAAAAGTGGGTGTTTTGAAGAAACAAAACGCCGATTTTTATTCTCTCTTATTTTTTTCTTTTATAAAAACAAAGGAAAGTTTCACCATTATTAGGTATTTTTAAAGCGCTCAAAAGCAAGTCCAGGTTGCTAATTACCGTAAAAAAGCTATTTACCGGATTTACCAAATTTATCAACTATTTACCAAATTTAAAAATTCAGCATAAAAGAAATGAATTCTAATTAATGCAAATAAAGTATTTACTTTCCTAAATGAGTTGATACTTGAAACAACATGAATGAGTCGTCCCGAAACACAGAGACCGAGT